ATCTTCTAGCTGATAAAGTAAACTTTGTGCAAATTTATACATTAGTATGTACTTAAATTTTATTTTTTCTACGAAAAATATTTTAGTTGATAAAGTGAACTGGTTCTTCATTTTCATGTACAACTTTATATACAGTAAAATTACTACACTCTTTCATATGCTATTACAATATGTAATTGTATGATATGAAATTGAGTACACATTTCCAATTACTTCAGGCTATTTATTAAAAATATGGTTGACATTGCATTATTTTCTCCAAAAGTCGAATATAATTTTTATGTTTAACTTGTTCCTGTATCCATTAGTTTCAAGGTACATCATAAAGTATGTTCTCAATCTTTAACTTTCGATATTTTTGCCCTGAACACATAGTTGTGAACACCCCTAAAAAAACTACACACGGAAGAGTTTTTGATGCTGTACATGTATAACAAATATTATTGTTTATTGACCGTTGCAAATAATGTTACAAAGGGAAAAAACACCAATTAATAAATCTCTTTTCCAAGAGATACAATATGAAATCTTAGAAAACAACGCTACCATGTTGGAAACTAGATCAAGAATAAGCAAATACGCGGATTAAGAATCACTTTAGTTTTCTCACAATCGTAAAAGGTATCATAAAGGGAATTACGTCTTCAGAGCCTACACTCATTGTAATTTAAGGCTTGCGTTTATGTCGGTGCGACGTTTGTGTGTACCCACGATTCGTTTTCCTTATCTTCGCATTATATAGCTTCTATCTCGGTTCTCTTACTCAGAACGAAGCGACGAAGAATTCCGTTTGGTCCTCGATAAGATTGCATTAGAAATGTACAGGGTGACTCATAGTTAAACCACTAAATTTCGTTGATATATTCCATAATTAAAAATAGGAGAAGAATTTTAACGGAACTTAATTCCGAAAATGCTCATGAAAATGTTGTAATAAATGAATAACGTTTTCCTCTTAAAATTGTACTAATTAATATATCAAAATGTATGTAGGTTTGTTATTAAATAAAATTTCCAAAATCATTCAAACTTCAATAACAAATTTTATTTGAAGAAATTTATAATTATCAGTGGCTTCAGACTGCTACACAGATTCTACTGTTTGGGACACCCTGTATAATATGTATATGCCCGTGTGTGTAACTCGAAACCTGCTGTGCAAAGGTACACACAGCGATATCGTACCGTTTAATAATCTGACCATATCAGTTTGCCGAGCTACTTTTATCAAGGAAAGAAAAATGGAGCAGACAATATAACTGGAAGCTACTTATTTGATACATTCTGAGTTTTGTGATAAATGCCAGATAAAATTGTATTAAGGTAAATTTCATTGGTTATTGTTAATTATCAAAATATTCCCCTTTCGAAAGGAAATGAATAGTTTATAGCAAATCAAACAATATAATTAATATGGATCATACATTGTATGCATTATATGATGAAAGTTTCATAAAATCATTATGGACAAAGAAATTTACAGACAAGTTAAAAAAGTGGTATTTTTTAATTCATAAGAGTCAAGATCGTCGTGATATGAAATTTTCCGTGGAAGACATAAATCTAATTATCAAACAGTTCATCTATTAGCATGCTATTTGAATATTTATCTTTCCGCAATATTAAATACATGCTTCGAATGCAATTCGAATTGGAGTAGTTCTTAATGGGAAACATTGAAGAATTGACATAATGAATAAAATTCTCGCAGTATTTAATGTTATTAACTCATTTAAACATTAATCAAAATATTGCTATACCTTCCGGAGATAAATCATCAAAACGCATGGTAAGAGTCTCGTCTAGTTTTTAATGTATGAAATTATTATTATTTCGATTTATTAGAAAATAAATTAAAAGCATGGAATAACATTTTTTCAATCAAAGTTTTGATTTCGAGAATTTAGGTCATTATATTCGAACCTGATTTGTTAAAGAAACGTCTGAATTATTTAACATGAATTTTCATGCACTGATTTTCTAGTAAAACGATATTTCGAGTGAACAAAATTTTGTTCTACGCTTTCCATTCATTTTTTCATGAAGAAATATGAACAATATCGTTGTGGTTGTAAAAAAAAGTATAGTCATTAAAAATAGATCTTCACATATTGTTTAACCCTGTTCCCCATAACTTTCTCCCTATCTCTGAACAAACTCAGAAGATAACTTATTTTCAAGTGTGTCACTGACACTGCACTCCTTTTAGTATACTCTAACTGTGATGATATCATGCCGTGTTGCGTTTTGCCTGTGGTATCTCTTCAGGCTGTTTAAAGGACAACAAACGGAGTATAGCAAAGAACAACTGTTGAGAACATTGTAAAAGTTTATGACACTCTCGAGAATATGAGCTTGAATACTTCTTTCAACCTGAACTGGAAGAAAACAATATATCCTATAATTATTACACAGTGTGAAGCAAAAAGTTCCAAGAAAATATAAAATAAAGGAAAGACTTCTTAAAATTCGTTGCAGGTTTTGCGTAGCTTTGTATTTTGAAATATTCTAAACATACAACATTCACAAAATCAATAAATTGAATATTTAAAAGGGTGGCAAATACTCTAAGTAGATTGACTCTTTACAGTCTCAACATGTTAATCCTTATAAAATATTTTGTTTTGTTGCATTTGGTTATTTCTGTACCAATGAATTATATCAGCGTCCAATGAATTATATCAGAATTTGATACTGGAAAAAATATGAATAAATCATGAATAGTATATTATATTTATGTATTATTGGTAGTTAACTTAAATATAATTTTAAGTAAAAGACATTATTATCCGTTCATAATGATATTTTAGTATCAGCGCCATTATAAACTTTACAAATCGCTATTCGGTAAGACAGCAGTCTAATTTATGATTGTATTTTAATTTTTAAGAGTTGTTAAAATCCTTTTTAATTAATTTTAAATAATTTCCCAATTATTACGAAGTGAGAGATAGCGTAAAATGTTTATATTTATTATTCATTGAACATTGAAAATAAATTTTCTACGACATTCATAAAAAGAAGTATTTTACCTTAATAAAAAAGAAATGGTATACCATTAAAATGTCACGTTTTTAAAACTACAAAATTTTATAGATTCGGCAATTTGTAAGATTATGCTTGTGCTACAAACTTAAACACCTACCAATAAACAGTAGATCATAGTTTTATCAATGATTATTAGAGTACGTGCTTGTAGAATACATCGGAATGTCTCACGTGCCTCTAAACGATACATGATACATGTCTTGTTATCGAGGAACGATGAGATCACGTTTTTCTTGTCACAAGTACGTGATCTCTTGAAAACCAATTGCGTGCACACATTTTGCGATTCTACACTATTGGGTTCTAGGATCGAATAGGTGTAATTTTCAATAAAAAGATGATTTGTATGGTCTATAGACTATGGATTTTTATGTATTCATTGGAAATGATAATATGTGTGCATCTATAAAAAAATATGAGAAAAATATGAGAAAGGTAACGAATATATAAAATACCCAAAGTGTAGTGTCTTTTATGATATTCGTTTGAATAGAAATTTATATTTCTAATCATATGTAAATAAATTTGAATTTGACTGTATTTAAATAACTATTTATTTTATGATTTTCTGCTGTTTAAAATCACAAAATCTACATTATTATTGGTTTTATGATATGGAAAGATATTGAATCATCCCATAAATAATTTGGTTTTTTTATATGCACTTATTTTTCCAAAATTTATTTAGCAAAAAATATTTTGGATTTGAAAATGTTTGGTTTATTTTACTTTTGCAAAATAAATAAGTGTAACAGAACCATATTATTTATGAGATGATCTAAATATTATATTTTCATTGTAAAAGTTAATTTCCCCTTAAGATTAAATACTCATAAGCTTATGATTGTATTATCTTTCAAATTACGTGAACTAAATAATATTGATATTTAATAAATTCTGTGCAAAGTCTTCTTCCCGAGTTTGATTCAATTTATATAGTAAGGGGTTAAAGTTTTTCTTATTGTGTAATCTTTAGCTTTGTTGTTTTCTTTTGGCAATGAATCGGTTGGGCACGCGTGGAACAATTTTATCACTTTATCTACATATTCGATAAGTAACCCTGATTAGTGCTATGTACAAGCTTTGATTGCGAATTTTGTATTGAGTTCAAATTCTTCAATTCTTAATCCCAAGAAATGTGATTAAAATTCAAAGTAAATGATCATTATATACATTGCCATTCACAACGGATTTGGGTCATGTTCACACAATCATACGTAACCTTAGTATACAAACAGATAAAAATAGTTAATTCGTATACTTCGTTTCCTGTGTCATACATGAAATTTCAAAACTGAAGTGTCCATTATAATTACGTTAGTACTAAATGTTTGCAGGAATTAATATTTTTATCTTGTATCGATGTCTTTTAAATCACTGCCAATTATTGATTATTATAAATCAGCGAATCATCTACAGATAATGCCGGAAATGAATTTCTTATAAGTTTCATTTAAGTAATAATACTTTAAAGAAGGATATACCTTCTTATGCTATATAAGAAACATACAGTTTGATAAATGTAATGACCACTGTGAATGACCGTATAAATATGTTCTTCAACTAATTAAGTGTAGTGTTTCACCATTACCTACGCATTATTTGTTTTTATGTGTACACGTGTTCATTTGATTCAATCGGTCGTTTTGAAATTTAACGATTAAACGATAGTAATACACATTATTTAATTAGTAATAGAAGTGACAAAGAATAGACATTATTCAATTAGTAATTAAAGTAATTAAAGTTATAGATACTAGACATGATCTAATTATTAATAGAAGTAATAGATAGCAGACATTATTTAATAATAGACTGTTAATTATTTAACAGTTCAAGGGCTGTATCATAAATAAAAATTTTTCTTCTATTCTTATGGTGGCGCAAGCTATAAAAATACGGAAAATGCGATATAGGCGTGATGAATAACTTGTTGTTTGTTTTCGTTACAGGATAAAACATAAATCTGCAAGATGGGTGCGATGTTCAGAAGCGAAGCGATGGCTCTCTGCCAGCTGTTCATTCAGCCAGAGGCAGCCTACCTTTCCGTCTCCGAACTTGGAGAAACCGGTACGGTGCAATTTCGTGATGTAAGTTCTGTTAGATGTAATTTTTAACTACTTCCTTTTATCAGTAACAGTAATAAATATATCAATATATCGATACACAAGTATATAAATAACAATAATAAATTATCAACGATACTACAAGTATATTGAAAGAATATATATTATTACAAATACAAAAATATATTGAAAGTGTAATATCGCAATGAAAAGAAATGTAAATATTAAAGAAAGAAAGGAGAAATTAGAGAAATCTTTTTAGTCATTATTATTCGCTGTGATTGATTTATTCAAGCCTTGAAATGTCACAGAACTTTCTAGTTAAGAAAATTAAACAACAACGTACGACGTATATATAATGACTTTATGGTATGATTGATATTGGTTTATTTATAATTTCTATTTTGTTATCGATGTCTTCGTAGCTCAACGGCGATGTCAATTATTTTCAACGAAAGTTCGTCAATGAAGTCCGCCGGTGCGACGAAATGGAGCGGAAGCTTCGGTACATCGAATCAGAAGTTAGGAAAGATGGTGTACCTATTGTGGACAATCTGACTGAATTACCACGAGCACCGAACCCACGGGCCATCATAGATCTCGAGGTAAATTATTATTTTCTCTTAACAGTCACATTCAGTAACGAAGCTACTTAATCAAACGTAATAAAAAACAAAGTTTCTTTAAAGCGACGTATTCAAGATTATAACATTACCTTGAAAAACGTATAAAAGTAACTTTAAAATTGTTAGTCGTTATAGTAATCACATAAATATATTTTTATAATTTTTATATAACAATTATAGAAATGTGTTTATTCACTGACGAACGTGTGCAAAATATCTCCAATTTTTCTTCCTGTAATAAAAGTCTATAGTTTAATCAAGAATTTGCACAACATAAGACATGTTTAATGAAGATCGTAATGTAGAATTTTCCAAACTGGTAAACTAGCAGACACAAATAAAGATTTCCTTTCCTTCAGATATTTCTCTGGACTTTTTCCAATATAATTCAGAATATAACAAAATGACGTCTAATGCCAAGAAATAACCCAGCATTTTTCATGTCACAACTTGATATATACGATAAAAATGGAACAGTAAACGCCATTATTAATTATTATTGCAGGCGAATCTCGAGAAGACGGGGAACAACATATTAGAGCTGAGCCAAAATGCGGTGAACCTGAAGAGTAACTATCTCGAGTTGACGGAATTACGGCACGTGCTCGAGAAGACCCAAGTGTTTTTCACGGAGGTAGCTAAAGTAGTTCAGCAGCTTTTGCTCATAGCATCGTCCTCCTTCGTGTAATCGATGTTACCGTTCTGACGGAGAATCAAGATTCGTCTCATCTTCTTCTATATCAACAGGAAGAGGCCAATGACTCGATCACCAGGACGCTAACTAACGAGGAAGCACAGAATCAGAGCATTACCAGCCATGGACGTCTTGAGTATGTTGATCTCTTTATCAAAAAACACAAGATATCAAAGAAAGAGTTGTCTAGTAAGAAAAACTTAAATGTAAACTACTTAATTCCATTGATACTTAATTTTAGTGTTGAAGTTTTTCTTAAAATTATAAGTCAATTAAACTGTATAAATTGTATAAATTATAGCAAACTCTATAAAACTCTATAAAACTATATAAAACTATATAAAACTATATAAAACTATATAAAACTATATAAAACTATATAAAACTATATAAAACTATATAAAACTATATAAAACTATATAAAACTATATAAAACTATATAAAACTATGTAAAACTATGTAAAACTATGTAAAACTATATAAAACTATATAAAACTATATAAAACTCTATAAAACTATATAAAACTATAGAAAACCATAGAAAACTGTACAAAGCTTTTAACTCAATGAACATGAAAAAGGTATAAAACTTTCAATTCTATTGCTCGGTAGTATTACTTTCACATTTATCGAGTTTTTAATCGACTCACAGTACAAAGTACGAGTTAATAAATCAATTGATGTAATAATTTCTCAGAAATAGTATTGTGCCTTTTTAACAATTGCAATTACACAAAATTCGAGGTGGATTATTTTGATCCATTTAATAGTCCTACGGTTATAATATACAGTGGCAATCGAAAGAAAGTTTAAAACTTCAATTTTCATCGTTGTTAGATGTTAAATCTTAAATCTCCATTTTATAAAATCGCTTAATAACACTGTGGAACAAATTTTGACCTATGTTAGGTTTTGCAATAACCACTATGTGATTCTTGTGAGTTCCTTACCGTAAATACGAATCCGAAAACCAAATTGCTGGGTCAGGTCCAGTTTTCGAAAAAACTGGGGTTTTGTAAAAGCGTTCGAATTTTTCAGAAAACCAAGTGTTACGTGAAAAATAAAAATGATAGGCAGTTAAAATTTGTCGTAGAAAATAGAGGAGACTTCCCGAATATGTAGCTATAAAAATTTTGAATTTTGTGTATCATTAAATGTTTGTAAACGATGATCAAGGTTTAAAAAAGGGTAGATGCGCGTACTTTGTATGCACTTCTGTTACATTTCTATGAAAAGTGGGTTGGCCAGCACGAATTTGCTATGCACCATTGGATTCTGCAGACATTTCTGAAGAGGAACCCCCCCGCGGGAAGTGTGAGAACGGTTTTTCTTTCGGACAGGTTAAGAAAATGCTTTTGATCGGATTTTAATCTTTAAGAACTTAAAAATGAAGCTGAAACCATAATTTTTATTCATGAATTTCGTCTTGCACTGTTCTGAAAAATCATCTCTTAAATTTTCTCTCACTTGTTGCTGAACACGTTGTATGGTTTATTCCTGCCAGGATCCAAACTACAAGACAAGACATACACCTAGTGTTACTGATCGTAGTGAGTAATGTTAACTAAAACTGTATGAAATTCTTATTCATTTGGATTTTTGGAAATTTTTAAATTCAACTAATAATGTTTTTGAGCAATGTGTCTTCTCCAAATCTATTTTCTGTCTGCTTTTTTCAGTTCTTGTTGGTCTTCATCGTTTCATACTTGGTCACCTAGATAATGTTATTAAAAGTCTGTGAGCAGAAGTTGACAATTTACTGTTGGATTAATAAACTAAAATATTCTGCAATTTTAATGAAATTCACAATTGCAGGCTATTCTGAATATAATTTTTCCGAATTTATTACACACATTGTTAATACTAATATTTCTTATAATTAATAATAATCATAAAAATAATAATATTGATAAACAGTGCTTGAAAGGCAATTAATAATTATATCGAGGTTTTTTACTCTCTCATTTTTGCGACATTAATAAATGAACGAATGCGTACATGCATATATAAATATATGTATGCACTTTCCTCGTGAAAGAAATTGAGAATAATGTACATAATTTTAAACAGAAACAGTGAATAATTACTACGTAAACAGGGTGCTCCTTATGAATCTAGATTTCACTTTACAAAATTCAAAGTTCGAGAAATTAAAATGTTCTGATTTGATTTCAGTGGAATTTTTCTTTCAGATTCGTCGCTGGTGTAATAAACCGAGAACGAGTGCCAGCTTTCGAGAGAATGTTGTGGCGAATATCCCGTGGAAATGTATTCCTGCGTCAAGCTGAACTCGACAAGCCACTGGAAGACCCAGCTACCGTTAGTGCATACCTATTTCTTCTTTTGTATCTGAAAAATTCTTTCTATTTATTAAAACATGTGTTACACCATTAAAAGTATCAAGTGATGCGATGTTAATACAAATAAAATGCATCGTAGATAATCTTATAATACTAAATTCTACACAAGGAAATTTAAGTACTATTAAAAACCAAATTTCAATTAATGAACAACGAAATGTACCTGTACGAATTTGACACATTTTTTAACACTTTGTACTCTTCTAATATAAGCTCAAGCTCTCAACTGAAGTATCCAAACCGAAACAAAATAATCGATAAAAATAATTATATAATCATTTGAGTAATCATTGCAATTGTTAGTTGAGTGATTCATACAAATGAAGATATAAATTCGAGAGTTGTGAAACTTTAATACTTCGGTTTCAGCTGAGCTTACAATGCCTAAATTCGTTAAAAAATCGTGTTAGATCGGATAACCGATTTTCCGGTTATCTGATCATTAAAAATGTTAATCAAAGCGTGTGATTTGCACGATTAATGAAATGTTTTAGGGGAATAAGATGTATAAAACAGCCTTCGTTGCCTTTTTCCAAGGAGAACAGTTGAAAAGTCGCATCAAAAAGGTCTGCAGTGGTTTTCATGCTTCCCTGTACCCATGCCCACATAGTCATGCAGAACGCCTTGACATAGTTAAAGGCGTTCGCACCAGATTAGAAGATTTGAACATGGTGAGGCTGTTATGCATGCAAAGATTCTTATTATACTTTTGAGTACAATAAAACTAGTAATAGAATCAACTTAGGAATTATAATAATATAAAATTCTAATAAAAAAATTGTCTATAATAAAAAACTCTATTAATTGTTAACTAATAAGTATATTTTCTCCTGCAGAAACAACATGAAAAATTTCATTAGAATATTATTGCAAAAAATACGTTAGTGAAAATAATAAAGTACTTTATCAGAAAATAAAGATGGATTATTTTAGTGTACAAAAATTAATTAACTCTGAAGTAATTTAGATTCTATTAATAAGTGAATTCTCAATAGAAATTTTTGTTTCATTAATCGGAGATTAAGTTCAATTAAGATTGAATTATTTGAATTCGCTTAAAACCTGAACTATTTGATTAGACCGTAGAAGCTGGTTGTTTCAGGTTACATATAACATTTATCAATTAGGTTACTCCACGTAACGTGCAATAAATTTTTACATGTTTGTTCCCAATCTCTTAGGTTCTAAACGAAACACAAGATCATCGTCAACGTGTTTTGCATAGTGTAGCGAAAGAGTTGCCGAACTGGACCATTATGGTGAAAAAGATGAAGGCCATATACCACACGATGAATCTTTTTAATATGGACGTCTCAAAAAAGTGTCTCATAGGCGAATGTTGGGTACCAGTATCTGATCTTAGTATTGTTCGCAACTGCCTCACAGAAGGATCGGTTAGTTTTCAAATAAACTTATTAAGAATATTTTGTGATTCTTACATAATTTACGAAACCTACGAAATTCGTTAATAACTTACGAAAAGTTTTAATACGTTTCATTAACTAACTATTTAACGACTTCAATGAATTCCAATTTGCTAATATTTTATCTTCATTAGCGTCTCTGTGGTAGTTCGATACCGTCTTTCCTCAATGTTATCTACACTGACGAGAACCCACCGACGTTTAACAGGACGAACGTGTTCACCAAAGGTTTTCAAACCCTAATTGACGCATATGGAGTAGCGACATATCGCGAAGCCAATCCAGCACTTTATACGATTATCACTTTTCCATTCTTGTTTAGCATCATGTTTGGAGACGCTGGCCATGGTAAGGAAATTTAGATACAACATAATGATACTTACAAATGTCCTCGTTGTTAAAATTTTCAAAACACTTCATTAGCATTTTAGAGAATTTTGAGAACACGTAGCTTAATAATAATTGACATTCAATTAAACTATTAAGTACTGAATGTATATAAATGTTACTTAACTATACCTTATAGTATTAGGCTAATACATAAAGTAATAGAGATCTTCAAATATATGATAAATGTAAATTAGAAAGGTCTATCAACTCTTTGCAGTTCAAGAATTTTTCATTAAAAATACGCAATATCATTTGACGAGATATAGACGACATTCCTTGAAATTGACTTAAGAAGAAATCACATATAAATTGAGGAACAACAATATTTGATTTCAATATCTCACATGCTAATACATTATGCAAAGCGTAATACTGAATATTAAACTTGATCATTTTGACCTATCAAATCGTATGACGACTGAGAGGCGCTTTTGGAGTGCAAAGGGTTAAAAAATAATGACCGATTTTGTTGAAAATTTTTTTATATTTTCTAATCGTTCTTATTACATTCGTTCTTATTAATTTTTTAAGTATTATTTTTATTTAAAGGATGTATTTAATTTCGATTTATTTTGGCAACAATTCCGGATACGTGTATTATGTAGATATACCAAAATATTAAAGTAAATGACAAAGTTGAAACGTTAAAAAAACAAGAATATCGAACAATAGAGTGAATTATAATTATTTTAACGATACATTTTTGATACAGGTTTAATCATGACCTTGTTTGCCTTATTTTTGATCACGAAGGAGAAGAAATTTATGGCGCAGAAGTCTTCGTCTGAAATTTGGAACATATTCTTTGCCGGTCGATATATTATACTTTTGATGGGTATATTTTCTATTTATACCGGCATCATCTACAATGATGTGTTCTCAAAGTCAATTAACCTGTTCGGATCTAGTTGGCACATAACGTACGATCTGGATACCATACAAAACAATGGTTTCCTTGAGTTGGACCCAGCTACCGAAGCTTATGCACAAACGCCATATCCCTTGGGTATGGATCCAGTTTGGGTATTATCTCAGAACAAGATTATATTCTTAAACTCGTACAAAATGAAACTGTCGATCATCTTCGGCGTCGTGCACATGATCTTCGGCGTGTGCATGAGTGTCGTCAACATTATGTAAGTTTTACCATTAAAGCTGTGATATCTTGTAATACTAAAACTACCGAGCAGTTAGATTGGCTTTTTGAAATTCCCGAATAGGGACTCCAAGAAGGTATCTGTTGAGATTTCAATTGGTTTTCAATTCAGTTTGCGTATTGCTAAATCAATTTCTTTAATAATTTCCCAAAGAAACATATGTTATCTTCTTCATAATTGTAAAAAGAAGAATTGAGGAATGGGCCATTTTGACCCGACTGGTAGTTTTAGTGTTAACATGATCATCTCAATGCTTGATGCAGGCACTTGAATACAACTGCTTAGCAGCTATCAGTATCTATCTTAAGTTCAACTAGACGTAACAGTAATTTACATTTATTTCAAGTATTATGCAAAGTTTGAGAATAAGTATTGATACAGTCTCTGTTTGTCATGAATATTATGTTTAATAAATTTAAAATTATTCATTTAAATATCAGACACAATTGTATAATTCTATAGGTCCAATTTAGATTTGATTTAGATTTAGCTTACAGAAAGTTACATTTGCTTTGCCTGAAATTTGTGCTGATGAATATTTGAGGAATATTGCTGCTAACAATATTTACATCTTTCCAGGTATTTCAAGAGATATTCAAGCTTTTTCCTTGAATTTTTGCCACAATTGATCTTCCTTATCATGCTGTTTTTCTACCTGGTAGTTTTAATGTTTGTGAAATGGGTTTTGTACGACGCCACTTCGAAAGGTAAATATTTTATGTATAATTTTAATTAAACAACTTACAACTTAAGTAATATTTAAAATAACATAAATATTACCTTAACTATATTTCAACATGTATCATTTTTTATAAACGCGATTCGTCGATATGATATTGTTTATGCTATGTCAATAAATTTATATTCTATACTACTTATTTATGAGGACTTTAAAGTCTACGAAGGTATAAAGTTTTATGATTTAACTGTGATTTAAATTTTTAGCAATTTTATTTGTCTTGAATGTCTACAATTTATTCTAATAATCTTCCATTTATTTCTACCCACAACAGAAATAAATAAGTAGCTAAGATTGCATCTATTATTTTCTATAATTGCATAGCTAAAAAATATCTCAAAACTATAATGAAATAGTTTACATTTTTTATGCAGTAAGACCTCGTTTAACGTTACCTCAATTAAAAATGTCTATTAAGTTAATATATAAATAAAATGGAAGTTAAAGTAAAACTTCTTTAATCTTATTCAAAGATAACTTCATTTAATGCTTTGTACTTTAGGAACATATCCTGAGCGTTAATCGAGGTATTGCCGTACTTTAATGTAAATTACCACTTTACCTTTCATTTGAATTCAGAAAATTACGTTTATTTCAACACGTAAATTATATTATTTCGCACTTTAATTCTTACAGACTTAACATATACTCCAACTTGTGCTCCATCAGTTTTGATCACATTTATTAACATGATATTACAAAGTGAGGCCGTTATGCCACCGGGATGTTCACAGTATATGTTTCCTGGTCAAAAAATTGTTCAATACGTTTGCGTTGGTGTCGCTATATTATGTGTGCCCTTGATGCTCTTCGGAAAACCTGTTTATTATTTAATAAAAAAGAGGAACAAAGCAGCAGGGAAAGTTCAAGTAAGCACATACACACTAAAAATAATGTCCAACGCAAATTTTAATCTGCATTATGTATATATTCTGACTCAGTTTCGCAGAGTTTCTCGTTCTTAACTAGTTAACTGTGTTTGGCGAGTATACACGTTATCTTAAATCTTGAAATGATACTAATTTTTTCAACGATGAATTAGTTATTTTTTCAGATAAACATGTAATTCTTCTTTGTTTTGCTTTGGTTTTTCATTAAATTATACCCTAAGTGCTTTCGTCCTGCGTTTGACGAGTACATGCTTCATTTTTTAATTTCATTGCGCGTAAAATGAGAAATTTTTCGAATTAATTTCCACAATTAACAGGTTGATATGAATATAAAAATTCAATTCTTATATTTAAAACTTATTTGCGTGTCAACTATGCGATTTCTACAAACTTCTTTCGCGCAGATTGACTCTATGAATTATACAAAGTAAAATTGCATAGAACTTTTGTTACATTGTAATCATCTAAAGCCGTTTGAACAAATTGGAAACCGATTGAAATACTTGTCACGCAGTATTTTGTCAGATATTTTTCCATTTATTTTGAAAACTGAAATAAGATGATACAAATATATATTGACATGGAACTCAAATATACAAGATAACGATATGAATATATTATTGTTTTGATCAATTGTTTATTTTTTCAGATAAACATGTAATTCTTCTTCGGTTTGCTTTAACTTTTCGTTAGAATATATTATTTGTGCATTTAGCCTGCGTTTGACGAGTATACACATCATTGTTTGATTTAATTGCGAGCATTATTAGAAATTTTTGAAATTATATTCGTCAGTTAACAGCTTAATTGTTCAAAAACAAAATGTAAGCAAATTATAGTTATACAAACGTTATCATTCTTATGAATCTTATTATACAAGGACATGAATTGTACTGCAATGTTTCTACTGCCAATTTCTAGAAATTGATCCTTTCCAACGAATAAAGTTAATATTATTACAAATTTATATTTTCATGGTGTTCTATTGAATTGTTTTTGTTTTAGAGTAATGGAGCATCTCAAGACATCGAATTGCAGTCGTCCACTCCGCAAACGGTAGCTTCGACTAGTGAACCAGCCACAGGCGGCCATGAGCACGAAGAAGATTCGTTCGGTGAACTTATGATCCATCAATCCATCCACACCATAGAATACGTTCTCTCGACGATATCGCACACTGCCTCTTATTTGCGTTTGTGGGCCTTGTCGCTGGCCCATGGACAATTGTCGGACGTATTGTGGAATATGGTATTAAGCAGAGGTCTTGGCGCTGAGGAAAACCAGTATATATTCAGCATAATTTTATTTTTCACTTTCGCCGCTTGGGCATTCTTTACTCTTACCATTTTGGTCATGATGGAAGGGCTGTCTGCTTTCCTGCACACCCTTCGACTTCATTGGTAAGTACAAATTAGCTCTGTAACCTCTTGCCCCGTAACAACGTGTCGGACTCGCGGCGAAGATTTTTAACATGATTTAATAAACATAAATAAGGTAAAAGCACCAAGAGTTGACCAGTTAACACAAATTTTCTGCGTGAATAATAGTAAACGCTTGCTCCCTTATTAAATAGAGAGACTCTATGCGTGAAAATGCTGTTTGAACTTCTTACATTATGTAACAAAGCGAACCCTTTTGAAACATTTATACTGTCCAAATTTTATGGGCATATTTGAAAATTCAATACTTGTTCCAGAAGTTCACCATACTTTAAAACAAGAAAGCTAGTGACTGACCACGTATTAGTTAGTAGTTGACCACTTACAGTAAAACCAAAAACATTAAAGGTGATTACTTTGATATCGTTTATTTGCAACGATTATGACAAATTATAAGTAAAGGGACAAATACAAATGAAAACAAATTAATTCGATGTTGGAAATTCGCTGTATACAACCAACGTCAATGAAATAAATTGTTAGTTTTTATGATAACCAATTTCATTCAAGCAAAGGTGTTTCAGAGTTGAATCGATAGATACTGTAGCATATCTACCGCGTCCTTATCGAAAGATTATTACTTTTAAAAACCTTTTTTATGTTTTCTTAAAAGATGGTTAACTACTGGTACCAAGTCAATTACTAATGCCCTTACCTCATTACTCGATTCATTCGAATTCAAAATATTATTCTTTTCTAATCAATTATTATACTTAAGAGCAAACGTTTTGCTTTTTCTTCAGTATAGACTTCGGTATGTAATTTAATTTTTGTATAGAAAGAGTTTTACGAAATTTAAAAACTTGTTGTCTCCAAAGTGTTAAAGATAAATTAAATTTATATAACTTTTTACCATCTTTCAGAATGTTTATTTGAACTATTTATTCACATATCATAATATAAATACCATATTGAACATAAAAACGATAAGATTTTCTGGTAAAACCGATATTTTTTAATTATTTCAAATTATAATATCAATAATAAAATTGAAATTTTATAACATACAGTTAAAAATGGTTAATTATTTTTTTCAGGGTGGAATTTATGAGCAAGTTTTATGATGGACAGGGTTATCCTTTCCAGCCATTTTCTTTCAAGAGTATTTTAGAGGCCGAAGAAGCCGAAGAATAACCAACTTCTCATCAACAGCGATAATTTTAATTAGACACGTCAGTTGTATCGTGTGTGGATACTTTTTTCGTTTTATAATCAATTGAACCATATAAAAGACGACAAAACACACAAGAATTTTCTCTGCAAAGTATTTTCTACGAAATTTAATAATTAACCGATGTAAATTTGTATAAAATATTGTTCCTTCGTAAAATCATGAGACAACATTAATAACTGTACGTCTTATATTCGTCGCCAATGTTTTGTAAAACATGTAAATTATATAATCAAATTGAAAAACTATTTTTTTCAGTAAGAATATTTGAAAATAATTATTAAAATAAAAATTTGTTTTACTTGAGGGAAACCGATTAAAAAAAAGAAATGATAAACGTTTATTTCTGCACCTTTCAGCTGCAGAAATGAAGTTTACGTATGATTTGTTTGCTTATACATATTTACTTTATTTTCTTTCTTTACTTATCAGATTTGTATTATTCGTCGTGTATCAACCTTATGCTTTATTTTTTGGCAATATTATCATTGTTAATTTAACATTTCTTCTATCACTGTTTTCACTTTCTTCCGATGAGTGCGTTGATGTTGTCAATTGCTTTTCTTTGTTTCACTTTTAATATTTTTTCGTTTCTTCACTTTTGTGTTTGAACCTTTCTATTCTTGTCTGAGATTTATGAATATATTAGTCTTATTCTTTTCTTTCACATTTTTCTTGTAATTTTGCATTTCTGTCAGTTTCTCCCTTTTCCCTTGTTAATTCTTTTTTTTCTTTACTTTCTTTTTCTTCTTTATGTTCTATTTGACCCTTTATACATGTTTAGTTTCTTTCAAATATGTTTCTGAAAGCTTCAGTTACCTTTCCAACTTCTCATATCTTACAAACTTAAAAATCTCTTTTTGTTTTTCAATCATTCTGATTGAGTCTTTTTTTACAAAAATAATAGTTTACTTTATTAGTCATCTATTTCATACGATTTTATTGACAATTTTCTTTAAAAACAAAACTGAATTTTAAATATTGTTCTGATAAAGACTTTCTAATTCTAAAGAAACAATATTGTAATAAATTAATTGTACGCACAAGCTTTTTCTGTTAAAATAAATGTGTATTACAATTGTAGTACTGTATAAATTGTATACATAAATACATTCTTACTGATAGCGAAGCACATACACGACGTATTTCAACGAAGAATTGTATCATTTATACCTTCTCGTTAAAGTAAAATTAGGAAATATACAATCTGACAAGGATAGAATGTAACAAGTAACATTATTAGAGTACAAATTGTTCAGAGTAATCAACAAAAAGTCAATTTCATTCCTTAAATAATAACAAAATGACGTCGTTAGATGTGTATACAGTACAGATCAATTATATTACGATAATGTTAAAAAAGAGTGATGCAAATATATGCAATAATATTTTAACAAAATTGTTGTATTACATTAAATCAATTACCTTAACCCTCCTACGTCTAATACATAATTATAAGATTATGAATAATTCGTGAAGTTGTGGGCGAGGTAAAAAATAATGCGCTGACAGTACTCACATCGACTATTCTTTATAATTTGATGGTCAAAAACATTAGAGTTAAAGATGCTCCATTCTGATGTATTTTGAAAATCATCTTCTATTTTTATAGAATAAATGGTAGTTATAGCCGATTCCCATTGATTATATTTAATAACCATTTCGATGAAAAAATAGAGAGAGTGCCTAACACCATCCCTTGAATTAAAGAATTCCTGAAGCAATTAAATAACTCGAAATAATAAATTCCCTATAAAAATTTTTGATGCACTTGATCTTTTAATTTGAATATCTTTGAGTAATTCCCTGCGCAATGGAAGAATAGGGAGAGGTGTAGAGTAGCGTTGATAGATACCGAACAATGATTAGAAGTGTCGAACAGTAGAGAACAGTGACGAGCAGTAGCTAACAGTAGCGATCAAACCCGAACAGTGGCGAACTATGATGAATAGGGGAGCAGTGACAAGCAGTGCCAAGCAGTGGCAAACGATAACGAGTAAAAGGGGAAGTAGCGGCGAGCAGAACCGAATAGCAGCGAACGCAAACAAGTAATGGGATAGCGAGCCGCGGGTGCAGAAAGAAACAGGTGTAATGATCAGTTTGCTGTAAGACTCCACGCGTGCTACAGTTTTTTCATTTTATAAGGTTTCCTTTTCCTCCTTCTTGTTCTCGAACAATCTTGAGTAGACTTTTTCATGAATGGTCAAGGTTTCTTGAGCAACACAGCTCTTTCCTCTCCCTGGTGTCCAATCACTTCTAAGTCAAATGGCTTCCCCCGACATTCCTGGCAATTCTGGCCGACGGAATCCAAGTTTTCCACTTTGGCAACCTGGTTTGTATAGTCTAAAGTCAATTTCGACCAAAAGTATTCCGAACTTCCCATCGGTCAGCCGGATGTAGCCTTGGAACCTATGAGACCTCGTCCTGGAGTCCCTTCACTGCTAAGTCAAATGGCTACCCCCGACCTACCTGGCAATTCTGCCCGACGGAATCCAAGTTTTGCACTTTGGAAACCTGGATTGTATAGTCTAAAGTCAATTTCGACCAAAAGTATC